ATATTAAAATGAAATAAAATATGGTTTACAGTATGCATTTCTTTAGCAGATGAATATTGTACCATACAGTATATGTATGTTGTTAAAATTACATGGATTCACAAGTTTAGAAAATGGTTAAGAACATTACAAGTGTTTTTAAAAGTGTGGAAAAAGTTTATAAGGCCTTAAAATAGACAGATAGATAGACAGACAGACAGACAGACAGATAGATAGATAGACAGACAGATAAATTAAAATAAATATAACATCTCTACTTCGCTGATTTTCACTTATTGCGGGGGTGTCTGGAGTATGTCCTCCACATAAGTGAGGGACCACTGTAGGTCCATTTAGAGATTTTACTTCTCAAGAAATAAAAGCTCAAGTCTGAGAAATTAGCTCTTCCTCTTTAGGACATCTGGCTGACCCTTCATTCTGCAGCAGACTGCTGACACCTTTTATTTCCTTTCTCCTTCCTGCTGCCACTGCTGATGGGTCTTTCATTTTTGGATCTGCTTTTTCTACAGATTTGACTTATAATTCTCAATAGCTAGTTACATAGATAAAATAAATACCTATATGTATACTACATACATAGACAAAAAAAAATCATTCTGCTATGTAGCGTACCCCTACTTATGTAAAGAAATAAAAATTAAACATAATTCATATTTACTCCTTTCATGTATAACTGTTTTGTTCATACTTTGTATTTACTGTCTTAAGTACTATTATGAACTCATAGCATCTCAGATACTTAAGCATTTAACCATAATTATTATTAGTGTTCTAATTGACTTGGTTACTTCAGGCTAGTATCTTTGTCTTCGTTTTGATTATATTTTTGGTTTCTGGTTACAGTGAGGTGTCCCAGGCCCATCCTTACATTTTTCTCCTTTAAGACATGGAGTCAGCTGAGCTTCCAGGAGTCCTGATTTCTTTGAGAGGCACACAGTATTAAAGAAAAAACAAATTGGGTAGTGAAGATGTGTAAGTGGAAAGGACAAGTCAAGTTGCCAAAAATATGATGTTCATCAACCACTAAGACTTTTCTACAAAAATAACCATCCCTGGTTTTTTGTTTGTTTGTTTTGACGGAACCGGGGATTGAACTCAGGCCCTTGCACTTGCCAGGAAAGTGCTTATTCCACTGAGCCATCTCCCTGGCCCCTCATCCCTGTTTTTCATATCAAGTTAGTTGAAGGAGCTTATTTATATTTAGTTTAAATAAATATTTCTCTTTTCTTTCAAATTAAGTTCTCTCTTTTATTGATTAAACATGATATAAAAATGATATAAGAAAACTTATTTTAACAGAAACAAATCATAAGTCTGTACTACATTATAATCTATTACTTTTCAAAATAACTCCAGCATTTTAGTCATGACAACTCTGTAAGTCCTCTCTTAGAACTCAGGAACTTTAACAATATGATTTTTTTTTTTAATTTATGTATTTGGTACAAGGTCTCACTATGAAGCTCAGACTCATAGTGATCCTCCTGTTTTCAGCCTCCCCAACACTGGGATTACAGGCATACGCTATCACACTCATACTTGGTGGCCAGCTGGGGGCACGGCCAGCAGGGCATGTGGTGCTGGAGATCGAACCTTGGTCCCTGCGCTTGCCTAAGCAGATGTTTAGTCCACTGAGCTATCTCATCAGCCTTAACATTATGATTTTTACTAAGAAAAGGTTTTGTAAAAATTCCTAAGGCATGTTTATTTTTTGCAGTACTGGGAATCAAATCTGCAGCTTTAAGCATGCTAAGAGCATGAACTCTGCCACTGCCACTGAGCTGTATCCCCAACTCAATCATGTATCTTTTATTTTTTTTATTTTTTTGTGGAACTGGGGATTGAACTCAGGCCTTTGCCCTTGCTAGGCAAGCACTTACTCTACTGAGCCATCTCCCCAGCCCCAATCATGTATCTTTTAAACACTCACAATTTAATATTTCAACAAAAAAACTAACTACATTATTCAATCAAAACCCACTAGAATGTGTGATTACATGAATAATTAAAGCCCTTTTTAAAAATCATTTAAAAAACAGAGTCTAGAAATAAACCTCTGTATATATGGCTAAATGATTTTTGACAAAAGTGCTGAAACTACATAATGGAGAAAGGACATTCTCTTCTACAAATGGTGTGGGGAAAACTGTGTATACATATCCAAGAAATGAAATTGGGGAAAAAAAGAATGAAGTTGGACTTTTACCTTCTACAACATAAAATTATTAACTCAAAATAGATTAAAAGCTTAAACATAAGACCAAAATTATAGGGATTTTGCTCAGTGGCACAGCATTTTTCTGGCCAGCAGGAGGTCCTGAGTTGGATTCCCAGTACTATCCCCCAAAAAGACCCACAATTATAAAACTTCTGTAATAAAACATAAAAGTTTTAGGACATTGAATTTGACAGTAATTTGGATATAACACTGGAAGCACAAACAACAAAAGCAAAAATAGACAAGGCTATATCAATATTTTTGTGTATCAAAGAAAGATGAAAAAGCATCATATGAAATGGGAAAAATTATTTGCAAAACAT